TTTATTTCGTCTGCTGTACACCACGTGACATTAGTCGCGCGTAGCTGTAAGGCGTGACTAGTCGAGCAGGCAGTACTACACGATAACACTACACTGCCCCCCTTTTTAATAAGAATGGACAATCATGACTTTGTTTAATTAACGTGACTACAAATTCAGTTTTTCAGGTTTCTTGATCTGCCGGCCTTTCCTGCTGAAGAGTACTACTGGAGAAGCCGCCAGTAGAGACCGGTCTATATTGGTCTCATTGTCCTGAAGTTGTAGATGTCAGCATCTGGTTCACCTGCTGCCTTATTAGAGTAGTCTGTCTCACTGTGTTCCAGTGACGCCAGTGAGTCTATGACTCCCTCCTCTGTGTGATATTCGGGGGTATCGGTTACACCGTGCCGCTGTGACGCCAGTGAATCCAAGACCCTTTCTTGGCTGGAATCCTGGGAAATGTCAGCTGCACTGTGTCGCTGTGACGCCAGTGGTTCTGGTGATTGGCTCCTCGTCCTGTCATGGGGAGTGTCAGCTTCACTGTGCCGCTGTGGCTCCAGTGATTCTGCCACTAAACCGTTGCTGATGTTGGCCCGGATTCTGGATACCCAATAAGGAATGTTGTTACTCTGGTACTGTTTCAACCTGTTGAAATGCATTATGTTCCGATTCTTCTGGTCCTTCACCTCATATAGTACTGGTCCTAACACCGCTGTAATCACATATGGACCCTTCCAAAGTGCCTGCAGTTTGGGAGATTTGCCTTTGGTCTTTGTTGAGTCTTTAACCAAAACAAGGTCTCCCAAGACAAATGCTCTATCTATGCTTCTTAAATCATGAATTTGCTTCTGCTTCCTCTGGTTTTCCTTAAGCTTTTTCCTGACAAGGTCATGATCGTTTTCCATTACCTCCTGCAGATGCTGAAGGTATGGCAAAGGCTTGTCTTTGTTTTTCTCCGGAGCACTCCTGTGGACCAAGGCTTCAGGCCCATACACTTCCCTCCCGAACATGAGCATATTGGGTGTGAGCCCAGTTGCTGTGTGAGGTGTGCTTCTGTAAGCTGATGTCAGAAATGGCAGATGCACGTCCCAGTCGCTTTGGTCCTGACTACAGTAGCACCGCAGCATTTGCAAAAGAGTCCGATTAAACCTTTCAACCAGTCCGTTTGAGGAAGGATGATATGGAGTTGTTCTTGTCTTAGCCACATCAAGCAAAATGCACACACGCTTGAACAAGTTGCTATCAAAGTTCTTTCCTTGATCTGTATGTACTTCAAATGGTTCTCCGTACCTAGTGACAAACTCTTTCACGAATGTCTTACAGACAATTTCAGCCTCTTGATTTGGAAGGGCAAATGCCTCGACCCACTTGGTAAATTGGTCCATGATGACCAAGATGTACTTGTTTCCTCTTGCAGATATTGGAAATGGTCCAAGAATATCAAGCTGTAAACGATCTAAAGGTGACCCGCTTTGGTACTCTTGTAAGGGAGCTTTGATTGTTTGATTTTCCCTTTTCATGACTTGACATGTGTTGCATCTCGCAACAAACGCCTCTACATCTGACGATAGACTATGCCAAAAGAACAGTTGTCGAACACGCTCCTTTGTTCTAGTCATACCTGGGTGGCCTGACAAAGGAGATTCATGACAAGACTTGAGCACCTCCTCCTTCATCTTTCTGGGAACTAAGAGCAACCACTTGGACTTTTCATGCGCGCTTTCCCATCGGTAGTAAAGAATGCCTTCTTTCCTTTCAATCTGGGATCTACATAGCCAGTAATGTTTAAGTGCTTGGCTCTCAAGTAGAAGATCCTCTTTCTTGGTTGGGGCTGCACTGTCCATCCATATGTGCACTGTGCCCAAGTCTGGGTCATTCCTCTGTGCCACTTCGAGTTCCTTGCAAGAATATCCACCTATCCATGAATTCTCGAATGGCTGTGTCTCAACAATTTTCTTGCTCACTCGTCTTGTTGCCAGCGGCACTACGTAGTCTACCTCAGTGTCAAACTGTTCCCAAGCTCCCGAGACTTTATCACAATGCTTACATCCTCCGCATGGAAGGGATTTCAAAGTTCCAGCTGAGTAGCACTCACATGTCAACATACTGGGGTTCCTTGATAAGGCATCAGCATTACCATGAGCTGTTCCCTCTCTGTGTTGCACCGTGAATGTGTATTGGCTAAGCTCCTCCAACCATCTTGCAAGCTGTCCCTGTGGTGACTTGAATCTGAACAACCATGTTAGGCTATTGTGGTCTGTCCTGACTGTAAATTTCCTCCCTAGCAGGTAATACTTGAAGTAGTTTGTGAAGTAGACGATGGCCAAAAGCTCTCTTCTGATGATACAGTATCTCTCCTGCTCTTTAGTCAGTTTCTTGCTACCATAAGCCAGTACTCTCTCAGTTTGATTTTGGTCTTGCTGTAGCACTGCGCCAATGCCATAGTTGGAAGCATCAGTGTCCAAGATAAGCTCACCCTCCTCCAGGGGAAAAGCTAAAACAGGAGCTGATATCAAGCTGGCTTGAAGCTCTCTGAGCACGCCATTTCCTGTTCAGTTAGCCATGCGAATGAGTGCAGCCCTTCTGTGTGAGATGATAGAGTGGCTTGGCCTTTTCTGTATAGTGTGGAATGAACCTTCTGTAATAATTCGTAAGCCCAAGGAACACTTGTACTTCTTTGCCGTTTCTGGGAATTTTCCATTCCGAGACAGTCTTGACAAGTTTTGGATTTGTCTCAGTGCCATCTGCGGAAACTAAGTGGCCAAGAAAAAGCACCTTTCTTTGAAAGAGGTGACACTTGCTTGGTTTCAGCTTTAAGTTGTAGTCACTGAATCGCTTAAAGACTTCATGGAGTCTGGACATGTGATCTTTGAAGGAATTTCCTGAAACAATAACGTCATCCTAGTAGATCAAAACTTGTTTCCACTGGAGTCCACTGAGGACAAGCTCCATGGCTCTTTGGAAGGTTCCTGGTGCACCACACAGACCAAACGGCATTCTCGTAAACTCAAACAACCCATACCTTGTGTTGAACGCTGTCTTAGGTTGGTCCTCCTCTGACATTTGAATCTGATGATAGCCCATCTGCAGATCAAGTGTTGAGAATAGGGTCACTCCTTTCGAGGGCATTCAGACATTCCTCAATATTGGGAATTGCAACTGCTGTGTTAGACGAAACTTCATTGATTTTTCGATAATCAATACACCAGCGCCATCCACCATCCTTCTTCCGTACAAGAACAATAGGGGTTGCCCATTCTGAAGTCGATGGAACTACGATTCCACAGTCCAGCAACTTCTTGAGATGCTGCACCTCTTCAGCTTGGAACCCAATTGGTGTCCTTCGTACTGGTTGTCGTATTGGTTTTGCTGAGCCTGTGGGTATGGTGTGCTCGACATCTTTAAAACAGCCTACATCCTCATCGCTCTTGGCAATCACATCCTGGAATTCAACCAAAAGATTACTAAGTTGGAGATGCTCACTTTGTTGCAGATGTTCAGATGCTCTCTCTATTAGGTCTGCTAGATGCAGTGGGACCTCCTTACCTGGCTGTTCTTTAACTTCACAGGTCCTCAGTGTTACATTCTGTCCATTATTTTGGTCCAGTAGACTCTCCTGGCTTGACTCTGCAATTTCAAAGTCTAATAACTTGCCAAGGTGTGTGCCTTTGTCAAGTACTGTTTCTTGAGTGTTTGGATTCAGGATTTTGATAGGGATATCCCCCTTCCAATTGACCAATGCTGCACCGGGAAAGACTCCTTTGTTAATTGACACTGGTTCAAACAACGCTGATCTTCTGTCTGAGATGCTTCCTGTAACCTGAGCAATCACCACTTTTTCTGACCTAGCTGGAATCGCTACCCTTTCATCTAGGCTAACTGTCGGAGGGGCTGATCCATCTTTGCATATTCCAGGGATTACTAGTCCATTTATAATGATGTCACCTTGTCTCGCGAGAATCATTGTGTCCGATTCCTCCAGAAAATCCATCCCCACTAAAATTGGATCCCTGATAGGCGCGACGAAAATACTGGCCAGTCCCATGATGAGTTTGGAATTGAAAGTGTCACTGTGACTCCTCCTACTGCCTCCATCTCAGCTCCATTTTCTGCATTGCAGAGGACAGCCTTTGTACTGCCTCCCGTGATTCCTATTGAGGTGGCCCCTGTATCAATTAAGGCATTAGCCTTGATTCCATTCACTGAAGCTCCAACAATGATGCTCTTTGATGTCTTATGCAATCGGCGAATCGTTACCCGTGCTATTTTCGGTTTGTCTTCCATTGCTAAATTCCTGCTTGTCAGGTGAGGACTATTAGAACGACTACGTCTCTTTTCTTTATGGCAATCCCTCATAAAATGTCCACTTTCTCGACAGTTATAACAACTACTGTCCTTCTTTGGCTGATCCTTTTTGATAAGATTTGGAATCTGCAGCAGCAGAGACTCTATTTTCTCAAGACGGCTTTCAATGCTCTTGTCTGAATGAGGAGTACCAAATGGCACATATTTAGGTCTGGTCTTCGGACTATAAGTGCGTTGTATTACAGTCTCGTCTTCACTGTCTTCATCTGTGGCAAATGCGACAAGACGGCTCACATGGGCCTGTAAGTGTTTATCACCATCCCTCCCAATCGTGGCCTTAAAATTGTGCTGTAGCCGAACAACTTCCTCTACAGCTGCTGACACTGTTTTTGGCATTCGGTTCATAGCCTCATATGCTATTTTAGAGTCCTTTCAGAAAGAACTCAGCTGCTAACTCCTCTAGCATTTGCAATTGAACACCAGGAAATGCATTTGCTGCCAATCTTCTCACCTCCTGCGCATATTCTTCGAGAGATTCTTTCCCTTGCCGGAATTCGGCCAACTGTTTGCGTAAGGTAGATGGTGGCTCAGAACGTCCAAATCTGTCAGAGAGATGTTGGGCAAGTGCATCATAGTCGTCTTGGACGACAACTGGCAATGTGCAGATGAACTTAACAGCATCTTTTCTCATACAGTCATGCAAACGCTCGAGTTTTTCGGCGTTGGACCATTGATATCTTCTAGCCATACGTTCAAACGGATAAAAGAAAACCTCCCAATCTTCTTGGCCGTCAAATGCCGCTAGCTTAGGACGCGGGACATCTTCAAATACAGACCGGTTATTGGCAGAACTCCTAAAGGATCCGCCTTGTCGAGCTGCCGGTGTTGAGCTTCCACCATGCGCAAGTGGTGCTTGTGGAACGCTCATTTGCTCTGCATCAGATGTTTGAAATTGTCTGTTCCGTTGGACAGATGACTGGAAAGAATTGATCACAGACAATTCAGGATTGAATACAGAATGCCTTGGTGTACTGCTCCTTTGTTGTGCTGCAGCATCTCCTTTTGAATATACGGAGTCTTCTCTGATCTTTTCCACCTCAGTGAGTCTTACTGCCACTGTCTCATGCATTTCCTGAAGACTACGCCTTACTTCCATTCGGTCTTCCTCCAGCCTTCTTTGGAGCCAGGCTTGCTGCACCTGCTGTTCCTGACGCCATCTTTGTCTTTCAGCAGCCGTGTCACGAAAAAGCTGTTTGAACTCCGTCACTAGGCTGTTGAGAGTGCCATCCTGGAAGGAATGGCTTGTGTTGCAAGCCTCGCTGGTTGTGGGATCTTCCTCACTTGCCATCCTGCAAGAATGCAGCAGCTAGGACCTCCTGTGGGTCCACAGCAATTTGGAACTGTGGGTCAAAACACTCGCCTACTGCATCCAACTCTAGACGATTAAGCCACTTCCTGGCTAGAACTTCACAAGGGTGGACCCCGTCGATAGTTAGCTTCCCAATGTTGTTCTGGGGACGACGTCCTCTCCGTGTTTTGAACACGTCAAGTTGAAACTGTAGCGAGTTCCTCCCAAGGGATGTATTGAGGTTGACAATGTGACGATTAATCAGTTTGGTTTGTCTTGCCACTTCTGTATCTGAGCGTATCCAGCTTGGCTGTCTCTGATTGGCCTTCACTTCGTTCCAAACCGATACAGATACTGGGGGAAGTCCAATGAACTTGATTCTGCAGTTTAGCTTCAATGCAATGTCCCTAGCTCTTAACAACTCACTATGCACTGAGTTTACAGTAGAGTTATTCCAACAGGTCACATTAATTATCTTTGAACTCTTGCACTTTTGGGTTACGTGACAAGTGCCAATCCATACATACACAATAGCTGTTTTCTGTTTCTGTTCAACTAATGTTTCGGCATTTGCTCCACTTATGCATAGAAATTCCAGAGGAAGCTTAGATGAAGATTTAAGTAGCCGTTTTAAGTAGAAGCCTTTACTGTCACTTAAAAGCACTGCAAATCTGCTTGGTTCAGACACCGGTATCACTTTCTCTCTGGATTTTGAGTTCACAAAGTGAAATAAATCATGGACACTCATTTAGCATGTAATGTTGATAAATAGTATTGAAAAGTACACCAATCATATTCAAATACAACAATGAACACAATTTGCGAAGTAACTCTGAGAAAATGTATGATCAATGCAAGAAATTCACATTAAAACCACGAATTTATGTCCGGGAACATGAACATATCGTCCAAACAGAGCACAGTTCTTAGATAACCGGAAACAGGGACGGATCGCCAAAACACAGCAGAGAAATTTCTGACAACCTGTCAGTTCAAATGTCGATTCAATGAAAATCCTAATAAATGGTCAATGAAAAGCAATTTGTACTCAAAGATAAGTACAAGGTTAATCGTAAACAAGTATTTTACGCTCCTGACAATATCTTCTTGTGCAGTTACGGGATTAAGAACGATCTCACCGGAGTCCGACGAAGCCGCTGAAGGGACAGGACCGCTCCAGAATCGTCATACAGAGGATAGGTCAGACCGTCTAGTCAAACCCCTTACAAAAAGCACTTGCGAAGACTAGTCACTTCTGACACCAGTGTAGCGTCTAGATGCTATCGCGGTTCTTTGGAACCTGGCGTGGGACACGCTACTATGGACGACAGACGACAAGCGCGTTGTGTTAGGTTGCCATCTTTATTTCGTCTGCTGTACACCACGTGACATTAGTTGCGCGTAGCTGTAAGGCGTGACTAGTCGAGCAGGCAGTACTACACGATAACACTACAATATTGTTGGTTCCTATTGAGTGTCTCTTGCATAAGCCTGTGATTGATAGATGAAAATCCCATTCATGTATCATCTGCGAACAAGCGTGCAGCACAATCTAGTTCATCAGCAATAACATATACTATAAACAGAGAGGGGCCCAGGACTGATCCCTGGGGAACCCCAGCTGTAGGAGATTTCATTAGCAGTAGGGGTCAAGGGTTTGTTAGAGGACTTACTAGGCAGAAGGGGTCCACTAGCAGGATTCAAAAGTTGTTACAAACTGCTATGTAATATAGCAAACATATGAGAAAATGTTGTGTGAGCCAGTGGATATATTGTTATACCAAATGTTTGTTGAAGGATGGAGCAACTCCTTTATTCAAGGCATGTCACAAGGGTCATCTGGAGGTCATTGATGAACTGCTCAAGCACAAGCCATGCTGCGGTCTTCTGCAGGTAATCTTCAATGGTTAAACTATGCTGTGGTCTACTTAACATAATGTTGTCAATCACAAGCCAGGCTTTTGTCTTCTTTATGTAATGGGGGCGGTTGAGTAGCTTTGTGGTTAAAGTGTTAGCTTTGGGTACAATGTGTGAAGCATTTTTCCCCGCTGTCATATTGCTGTCATATTGCTGGAATATTGCTAAAAAGTGGCGTAAAACTAAACTCACCCACTCACTCATTCTTTATATAATGTTGTTAAGCCATGCTTGTGGTCTACTTTACATAATGTAGCCAGGTCTGAGTTATTCTGTGGTCTACTTTACATAATGAAGCCAAGTCTGAGCTATTCTGTGGTCTACTTTACATAATGTAGCCAGGTCTGAGCTATTCTGTGGTCTACTTTACATAATGTAGCCAAGTCTGAGCTATTCTGTGGTCTACTTTACATAATGTAGCCAAGTCTGAGCTATTCTGTGGTCTACTTTACATAATGTAGCCAGGTCTGAGCTATTCTGTGGTCTACTTTACATAATGTAGCCAGGTCTGAGCTATTCTGTGGTCTACTTTACATAATGTAGCCAGGTCTGAGTTATTCTGTGGTCTACTTTACATAATGTAGCCAAGTCTGAGTTATTCTGTGGTCTACTGTACATAATGTGGCCAAGTCTGAGCTATTCTGTGGTCTACTTTACATAATGTAGCCAAGTCTGAGCTATTCTGTGGTCTACTTTACATAATGTGGCCAAGTCTGAGCTATTCTGTGGTCTACTTTACATAATGTAGCCAAGTCTGAGCTATTCTGTGGTCTACTTTACATAATGTAGCCAAGTCTGAGCTATTCTGTGGTCTACTTTACATAATGTAGCCAAGTCTGAGCTATTCTGTGGTCTACTTTACATAATGTAGCCAAGTCTGAGCTATTCTGTGGTCTACTTTACATAATGTAGCCAAGTCTGAGCTATTCTGTGGTCTACTTTACATAATGTAGCCAAGTCTGAGCTATTCTGTGGTCTACTTTACATAATGTAGCCAAGTCTGAGCTATTCTGTGGTCTACTTTACATAATGTAGCCAAGTCTGAGCTATTCTGTGGTCTACTTTACATAATGTAGCCAAGTATGAGCTATTCTGTGGTCTACTTTACATAATGTAGCCAAGTCTGAGCTATTCTGTGGTCTACTTTACATAATGTAGCCAAGGTACTTAGGTAATATGACTGCGCTGGGCAACCTTTTCTTTGGTTTCAAATGTAAAGGATATCATTTCAGAATGGAGAAACACCCCTCCATGCCGCCGCACTGTTTGGTCATTCCAAGGTCATCAAGTTACTGCTCTCAAGAGGGGTTGATCCCTATGTCAAGAACAAGGTGAGGTGCATTCTTCAAACAACAGTAGATGTATGTGCCTTTGGATTATCATGGGAACCATATATTACTGTGGCTAGCCAAATTTTGAAGACGAAAAAACGCAGCCTGTAGAAGGGGGTCAGCATATCTATGGGTAACACTTTCGTCAAACTTTGTTTTAGCTTACATTCTGCCATACTAATGCTTATACCTACCTGTTAAGCTACCACTGTAAGTTGAGTGGAAACGAGGTGTAAACACAAAACAAGCCCACCTGTGCAATTACCTCCTCTTCCCTGTCACCAATCTTTCCTGCGCTTCGTACCTGTAGGACGTGTGGAACAGAGCTCTATATTTTTTCTTTTTTTGAAGTGTTGATAGAGTTTGAGTAGTATAGTTTTTACTTACCTTTTTACTTGGTGTAAACATACTTGTTGCTTTGGTAACTTTTTTTCTGTGAACTTGAACACTTTTTGCACAATATCTTGTGAACATGTGTTGTTGGAATGAAGCATGGCTTCCACTTGTTTAAAATGTCAACAGAAACTTTCTAAGGCTGAGCCCCCCCACAGTAGTTGTCCGTCCTGCCATGTTCAATTGACCCGAAATGCATCATGTGTGATAAATTGTCCGAGGAGGATTTCTGTGCATATTTGAGAGCTATTGCTAAGTGGGAGGCTGATCGGCGTTATAAGGAGAAGCGTGCTTCATCTCGAGATCAGGCAAGGAGGCTGTCGTCATCAAAGATTTATTGTCCAGAGACAAAAGTTTGACTGAGCTGTCTCCAGCTGACTCTTCGCCATCTTGTGGCGGGTTCATCGTCTGTCAACCAACCGGAATCGGGGTCAAGAAGTGGGTTGTTGACTGCCGATTCAGGCGATATCAACTCAATTGGAAGTGATGATCATTACGATGTCCGACAGAGGGAACGTACAGCACCCGTGTTGAATGAAAATAATGACACGGTGGAATTGCGATCTACTTTTGATGCGATTCATTGCAATGAGGTTTCGTCGATACCTACTCCAGCAAAGAAAAATCTAGTGGGCGTGTCGACACACCCTCTCGTCCGGATCGTTATCGTGCGAGCAGTCATTCATCACGTTAGCGGGATACTTTTTGGAGCATTCGTTGGTCGATATGTACGAAAGGATCGATGCGGACGAACGGATCGTTACGACCCAACGGATTGACGGGACCATACTGAGCATTCATTATGACAACTATGATAGAACCGATACTGAGTCGTCTCGACAGTTTGGTTATTCTCGTCCGTCTCGGTATGATCGCCCTACTCGTTATGATTGTGACAGGTCACGGTCAGCTACTCCTTCACGTTATGGCCTGGGGCATTCTTACAAGGAGGATTACCCTTCTCCATGTTGTCATTCTCCTCATACTTACGGTAGTCGTTCTCCACGACGTCGACCTCCTATGGCGACTACTATTTCGTCCAGTGTGTACCCTGATGTCTCGCCAATTAGTCAGTTCCTCCCTCTCTTACTTTACTGGCTGACATCTTGACACAATTGCGTGCTGTGCTTTTTCCGTCTGTCGACCCTGTCGTTTAGCCAACTTCATCGTTCTCTATGGTGCCTAATGCGACTCCGTCTTCGCCATTGAATGTTACCTCCACCCCTACTCTGGTTCTGGTTTTCAGCTTGGTGATACCCCAGACTCCATTTTCCGCCGTCATCTTTTATGAAACTTCCTGCAGACATGAACTCGTCTTTTGCCTCAGCGTTACCATTTCATCTATTTGCTAAACCTGGGATGCGCCATAAGTTTTCCATCTATGGGATGGAATATACTGCTCCTGTCTCTAAAGATCTTGACTGGGCATTACTGTTTCCCACCACTACTTCATACCTGACTGAGGATAAACATTTAGAGTCTGTAGACACTGCAGCGTGGCATCAACTGTTACCATTGGCCATGGTTTCCACTGTGATGGATTGTCTCATTAAATTCTTCAAGGATAAGGATTCTCGGATGATGATCGGATGGCGATGGCCACATAAGTGGACTTCAGACGCACTAGCACACACTATTTATATCTCAGGGCAGGTCACTCAACTCCGACGACAAGGATTTCTCATGATCTCTAAGCTCCCAGAATGGCACACTAGGCCGCTTTTCCAGGAAAAATGGACTTCATCTCATTTAATCAATGGAGCCATTCCTTCAGTTTTGGACAAGAACGCACTGGAGAGCGAGAAACAATTGATTATATCGTCTACCCAGCGACCGGTACGTCACCAACCGGTGCACAACGTTCCCCAACAACGATACCGACATCCTCATGAGGGTTTTTCGAGCCAACCGATCGACAAGTCGCGACCGATGATCTGGTGGGGATAGAAGAAGAGCGTCCTTTTCCATGCTTAAACGGGGAGGCAAGGGCACACGGGGAGGAAAGTCTCTCTTACCAGAGAGAGATCCAGATCCTCCTCCAGTGGCTCAACCATAGGAAACATAACATATGTTATATTTGTGATGACACTTTCTTAGTAAAGTACAAATTCTAGTACTTTTTTGGGTTGACTCCCATCCGGGATTCGAACCCACAGAGTCAGGCACCAAATAACCAGCACACAAAGTCAGCCGCCTAACCCACTCATCCACGGCAACTTCCACTTCCTAATGGCATTGTGTAATCATCAGAAACATTATCGGTTTGGGGAGGATTCGGTTCTTTTCCCAGAGATGGGACGTTTTAAATGACCCATATGTTTAATGCTTTTTGAGGCTATGTGAGGAGATCCTACCTACAGTTAGTTCCTTGTATCCATCGTTGCCCTCGTTGCCCTGGCCATGTGAGGAGATTCTACCTACAGTTAGTTCCTTGTATCCATGGTTGCCCTGGCCATGTGAGGAGATTCTACCTACAGTTAGTTCCTTGTATCCATGGTTGCCCTGGCCATGTGAGGAGATTCTACCTACAGTTAGTTCCTTGTATCCATGGTTGTCCTGGCCATGTGAGGAGATTCTACCAACAGCAGTTAGTTCCTTGTATCCATGGTTGTCCTGGCCATGTGAGGAGATTCTACCTACAGCAGTTAGTTCCTTGTATCCATGGTTGCCCTGGCCATGTGAGGAGATTCTACCTACAGCAGTTAGTTCCTTGTATCCATGGTTGTCCTGGCCATGTGAGGAGATTCTACCAACAGCAGTTAGTTCCTTGTATCCATGGTTGTCCTGGCCATGTGAGGAGATTCTACCTACAGCAGTTAGTTCCTTGTATCCATGGTTGTCCTGGCCATGTGAGGAGATTCTACCAACAGCAGTTAGTTCCTTGTATCCATGGTTGTCCTGGCCATGTGAGAGATTCTACCTACCACACAGATTCTACCAACAGCAGTTAGTTCCTTGTATCCATGGTTGTCCTGGCTATGAGGAGATTCTACCTACACAGTTAGTTCCTTGTATCCATGGTTGCCCTGGCTATGTGAGGAGATTCTACCTACAGCAGTTAGTTCCTTGTATCCATGGTTGTCCTGGCCATGTGAGGAGATTCTACCTACAGCAGTTAGTTCCTTGTATCCATGGTTGCCCTGGCCATGTGAGGAGATTCTACCTACAGCAGTTAGTTCCTTGTATCCATGGTTGTCCTGGCCATGTGAGGAGATTCTACCTACAGCAGTTAGTTCCTTGTATCCATGGTTGCCCTGGCCATGTGAGGAGATTCTACCTACAGCAGTTAGTTCCTTGTATCCATGGTTGCCCTTGCCATGTGAGGAGATCCTACCTACAGCAGTTAGTTCCTTGTATCCATGGTTGTCCTGGCCATGTGAGGAGATTCTACCTACAGCAGTTAGTTCCTTGTATCCATGGTTGTCCTGGCCATGTGAGGAGATTCTACCAACAGCAGTTAGTTCCTTGTATCCATGGGCGCCCTGGCCATGTGAGGAGATTCTACCTACAGTTAGTTCCTTGTATCCATGGGTGCCCTGGCTATGTGAGGAGATTCTACCTACAGCAGTTAGTTCTTTGTATCCATGGTTGTCCTGGCCATGTGAGGAGATTCTACCAACAGCAGTTAGTTCCTTGTATCCATGGGTGCCCTGGCTATGTGAGGAGATTCTACCTACAGCAGTTAGTTCCTTGTATCCATGGTTGTCCTGGCCATGTGAGGAGATTCTACCAACAGCAGTTAGTTCCTTGTATCCATGGGTGTCCTGGCTATGTGAGGAGATTCTACCTACAGTTAGTTCCTTGTATCCATGGTTGTCCTGGCCATGTGAGGAGAGTCTACCAACAACAGTTAGTTCCTTGTATCCATGGTTGTCCTGGCCATGTGAGGAGATTCTACCAACAGCAGTTAGTTCCTTGTATCCATGGTTGCCCTGGCCATGTGAGGAGATTCTACCTACAGTTAGTTCCTTGTATCCATGGTTGTCCTGGCCATGTGAGGAGATTCTACCTACAGTTAGTTCCTTGTATCCATGGTTGTCCTGGCCATGTGAGGAGATTCTACCAACAGCAGTTAGTTCCTTGTATCCATGGTTGCCCTGGCCATGTGAGGAGATTCTACCTACACAGTTAGTTCCTTGTATCCATGGTTGTCCTGGCCATGTGAGGAGATTCTACCAACAGCAGTTAGTTCCTTGTATCCATGGTTGTCCTGGCCATGTGAGGAGATTCTACCTATAGTCAGTTCCTTGTATCCATGGTTGCCCTGGCCATGTGAGGAGATTCTACCTACAGCAGTTAGTTCCTTGTATCCATGGTTGTCCTGGCCATGTGAGGAGATCCTACCAACAGCAGTTAGTTCCTTGTATCCATGGTTGTCCTGGCCATGTGAGGAGATTCTACCTACAGCAGTTAGTTCCTTGTATCCATGGTTGTCCTGGCCATGTGAGGAGATTCTACCTACAGCAGTTAGTTCCTTGTATCCATGGTTGTCCTGGCCATGTGAGGAGATTCTACCTACAGCAGTTAGTTCCTTGTATCCATGGTTGTCCTGGCCATGTGAGGAGATTCTACCTACAGCAGTTAGTTCCTTGTATCCATGGTTGTCC